GAGTGTAGTTTATAGCCAGGATGGCCACCGCGGCTGCCCAGTGCCAGAAGAAGCACATGGTGAGAAACATGATGTTGCTGTGGTCCTCCTCGTCCCACATCGTACCTCCCCACGGCCGGAACAGCACGACTCCGATCTGGGTGGAACAAGCAATTTATTACTTTGGGGGGGAAATCAGTGTACTGAAGCCCTCCAGCACCTCTCTATCCATCTCAGTTATTGCCATGATCCAAGTAGCGACCGAGGAACATGAGCCTTGACCAGGACGGTGGTTTTTGCTGGGACAGTGCTGGCCTCCTTGAAGTCCAACCACACCAAGCAAGTCTGCGCCTGCAGTCTCTCTTTTTCTGTACGATATCCAAACACAACCGTCCCTCTGCATTGCAGGCTCCTAGCCATCCTTTAAAAACTCCAAATTTAGTATTTCACAAGCTCAGCCCAGATTTAATCTCAGAATAAACCGTTTGAGTCAGCGCAGCAGACCTGGGGCTGAGAAAGAGGAGAGGAACTCACGTTTCTTTTGGACAGCCTAGTTTTGGGAGCGGTTATCTCCATCTCATCTCTTTGCTTCTCCAACTACTGCCAAAGCTAGGAGCTGGCCGTGTTTTTACTCAGCCATTTTATTGCTTGGTGGGCTTTGCATCTTTCCACTAAACCAGAGGGAGTGCTGCAGGGTGCATTAGACACATTAAGCAATTAGTACTTGGTCGTTAGCTACTGCAAAACGTTGCTTGCTCACTGCAAGCGCTCGCTTTTTCGGCTCCCCCCGGGGAAGCAACAAGCCAAGCCAAAAGCAGGAGCAGCCATCAGAGATGACCTGCGATAAGTAAATTTTCATTCTGGGTTATGATCTATTTATGAAGCGAGCCCGGCATAATTATCCTTCAGAGACACACGATTGATACGTGACGTACGGCATCTTTTCCTCTTCTCCCCTCCCTCTCCCACCTCTCCCATCTCTGCTCTGCGAGAAAAGGCAGAACTCACCTGCCAGAACCACGTTCCTTGGACGATGGTGACACCGGCTCTGAACATCTCCAGGACAATGTTGTCACGGAGGAAGACCTCCAGCATGATGCTGCAGGCCCCCGAAAAGACGGCGATGAGCAGCAGGGAGTGGATATGCTGATCCAACATGGGGCGGTGAAGGACGTGGTAATAAAAGAGACAACCTGCCAAAAGATGTCCCGCGCTTAGAGTAGCACTAACACCACCACTCATGACCACAGAGCCCTGATAGAGTAAATCACCCGCCCGGTTGGTGGATTGAGACAGGTCACTGCGAAAACAAAGGACTTCACATAGCACCATCCCTCCAGGTCTCCTGGCATCCCACCATCCTGGAGGGATGAGATGCCGAGCATCGGGGAGGGAGGATCTGAGCAAGATGGGGACTAAAGCAGAGGACAATAGAAGGGTGATTTTCTTCTCGTGTTGGTGCCATCACCTCTTCAGGTCACCCACCCCTCATGGCCATGTTGCTGTGTCCTGCTTTTCTGTTGCTAAGCTTCACCGTTTTCTCGGGCACTGGAAATTATATATTTCCCTTTCTTACATATCAAACGGTACCTGTTGAGATGCCCCTGCTGCTGCTTCAAGAACCATTGGGATTGGGGAAGGGAAAATAACAGGAGCTGTGCCTTCCTTAAGGGGTTTTCTGTATAAGCAAGACCTTCATTTCTTAGTGCCTTTTCCCTGCATGACCCAAGAGGGGTCTGAAATCCTGGCTCGCGACTTCCAGGACAGCCTGAAGACAAAATGATATTCATGATGTGCTGAAGGTGGAATAAGTCACTTGAATTTGCCACGTGCGACGCAAGCAGATGAGGATGACGATGCCTGCAGTGCAATTAATGGCTCTCGGGGGGGAACGCGGGGCACGCGAACAGCTCCGTAGATGTAAGATAAATGCAGCATCCACCAGCCATTTATCATAATGAGGAAACTCAGCCCGCTGCTTTGTACTGCTGTCACCCCAGAAATCCCAAACCAGGCAAAGCCAGGACCTATGGATGCCTGTATTTCCCATCCTGCTGCAGACCGTCCTTCAATAATACATCACCTACAACGTGTCCTATCTTCCAGGGCATTCAGAGCAATATCTCAGTCTGGCAAATTTTGGTCCCTCTCTGACTCCCCCTCCAACATCCCTCCCCGAATTAAGCACCACCTTCTGCTGACCTTCAACGAACACAGCGATGGACATCATGAGGCGGTCCAGCCCCTGCGGCACCACCTGGGAGATGCAGGTGAAGACATCCACCACGCCGGAGAGGCCGTAGAAGAGGTACATGGTGGTGTGCTGCCAGTTCATCAGCTTCACCCAGTCGCGGTTCTCCCCGCTGTAGAGGTACAAATGTGGACCGTCCGGGACGAACTGCTCTGCCAACATCCCTGCACGGACATGTAAGATCACGCCATTTCTGATGGTTTCTATGCAATGATGGTTGATGCTACTGTTCTGAATCAACAGCTGATGGTTTTGTGGTAGGGAGAAAGGACTGGATATAAACATCAGGCCTACATTAATGTAAGCTCAGGTTTGGGAAGGCGTACAAGACTTGGTCTTTTCACACCAAACTCTATTAGAGATTAAGACAAGATGACTTTTGACAAGGGTGTGTAGTGACAGGACACAGGGCAATGGCTTTAAACTGAAAGAGGGGAGATTTCGACTAGATCTAAGGAAGAAATTTTTCACAATGAGGGTGGGGAAGCACCGACACAGGTTGCCCAGAGAAGTTGTCGCTGCCCCATCCCTGGCAGTGTTCAAAAATACAACCCTTACCTATTAGAGCAAAGACGATTTTGATTCCTCCTTCAATGGCATCCACGCGCTGGAAAAACCACGTTCTGTGGGATTTCTTATTTAGTTTCTGGCTGAGATACAGCAGTGGGTATTTCAGAGACCACCAGAGCCCGAAGAAGAGGAAAAAACTGCCTGGAAGTGCATGACCTTTGAAGTTTGCCATCCTGGCAATGTCCTCCGACTACAAGGCAAAGAAAAGCAATGTCATTATACAACTTACGATAGTTATTTGGCATATGCTGGAAAACAAAAAAGGATTTTCTTTTCAGGAAGGACTGGAAATGGCTTGGCCAGGCACATGGGAATAGGAAGGAGCACTGGGAAACCCTCTGACGCTAAGAGGTGAGAACATCAGGGACCTCTCTGAGGTCCTTGCCCCTAGATTAGGAAATACCCAAAAAAGCCAGAGCCCAGACTGGTTTAGCAGAGGCCCCGTATCTGCTACAATCTCTGACACATCCCAGCCTGAACTTTGCATCCCCTGGGATCCCTCCCAGCAGTAGCTCTTGCTTTTCCTACTCTTCTGCTGCTGCGGACCAGGGCAAGGTGGGTTTTTCAGGACCAAGCAGGAGAGAAAATAGACAGGGAAAAGAGTAAGGTCTAGGGGTAAACATCAAGTGGGTTTCTTGAGCTCCTCCAACAGCCACAGAAGTGGTATGCTATGTCCAAAAAAGTTTTAAACTCCTGGAATTTTTTCAGCCCATGCAAGATGAAAAAAATCCCCACCCAACATCTATTTTGCAAAGCCGAAGTGTTTTGTTAAAAATATAGCTTCAAAAATACCCCCAAAGCTGCTGGAAACAAAAAGTTTTGGTTCTGGGCAAAGAAACCAACTCACTCCCTGCATCATTTGCCTCCTCCCACCCGTTCTCTCTCCGGAGCATCACTAAGCCGGGATTTGCACCGCACGGAGCCCGGAGATCCCAGCCGAGCTGCTCAAGCCTCCGTGCCGGAGCACACGCGCACACGGTTAGGAGGAGAGCCGGGGGACCCGTTTCCTAGGAGAATTACAGCAATTAAACCCCAGCCAGCTCCTGTTTGCCGTTTGCTGGTTTCCTTAATTAGGTGGAGAAGCGATTAGCTCTTTGATGTGGGCTCGAGCATATGGTCGGGGTGCCTGCCTTGGCCCGACGGCGGGGCGGTTGTGTCAGGCTGGTCAATTAGGATTTTTTTAATTGATAGCAAAGGCTGTGCTGCTGGCACCCAGGCCGTCCTCCTCCCTTTAGTAACGCTCCTCTCCGCGCTTAACGCCAGGCACAAACCGGCGTGGGTGCCATCCATCCACATAGCAAGGGGCCGTGGAGGTTGGCGCTGGACCTGACCTCCCCATCCCATCGCCCACGACCCCGTTATGCTTAAACCACCTTCCCCAGCTGCATTTTGGGCTTTAGTTCCTGCTCACTGGAAATATAAACCCAAAAATGCCCTTTTTCTGCTGCTGCCTGCCTTCTGCGGAAAGGTTGGGCGTGAGGTTGAGCGTGGCTTGCTGCTGCCAGCCTTTGAGAGAGGACAGTGCTTTCTTTGGCTTTATAAATATCTGATTTCAGGTCGGTTTGTCCCAGGAACTCCTTGTTTTGCCCCATAAAGTCCATGTCCCCGGCTTGCTGCTGCCAGCCTTTGAGAGAGGACAGCGCTTGCTTTGGCTTTATAAAGATCTGATTTCAGGTTGGTCTGTCCTAGGATCTCCTCGTTTTGCCCCATAAAGTCCATGTCCCCAGAGCTCAGCTGGGTGCAGATACCATCTCCCAGAAGCAGCTGCCCCAGGGCTGGAAAATCCGTTGGGTTAGCTCAGCCCTGCAGCTTCGATTCAGACTGGTTTAACCAAACCAGCTAATCCAACACCTCCAGGTAAGCAAACATTGCCTCCTCGTGCAAACACCTCCCCGGCGCGTGCAGCTACGTGCACAGAGCTGATTTACTTGCAGCTTGCACCAGCCTGGTCCCACGGTCCTGCCTTCCCCAAACACCTACGAGTTGCCGTGGTGGGTTTCATGCAAAGAAATTTAGGAGGGGGTTTAATCCGAGGGTGGAAAAGCTGCGTGTGGGAATATTCTTTTCGATGGTCTGGGCCAGCAGCTTTGCAGGCAGCGAAGGCTCTGCCTTATTTCATGACTTAAAAGGAGAGATTTATTGGCAGTGGGTGCATTGGGTGATTAAACCCAAAATCAAAGCCAGACGCTGTTTACCAGCAATGCCAGCACAGCCCAGTGGGTTAGTACAGTGCTGAAGAGGCTTTAGTCCTTTGAAAGAGCCAACCAGGGAATCAGAGCATCCACCTGTATCCCTGCAATCACGTGAGCAGCATCCCTGAGCCAGGGAGATGGCTGAAAAACCTGTGTTTTCTTGGTGGGCAGAGCATCCCATCGCATCTCCACAGGAGATGGATGCCGTCAGAATGGGATGACCCAAAGGATACACTGATGGAGCAAAGTGGGGAAACTTGGAGGTCACTTAAATGGAATATATGTAACCTGGCTGGCTGGCACGTCCACCAGTGCTCACGTGTGCTGGGGTGAGCTCTGCAGGGCAACAGGGATCATTTTTGGGGTCGCTGCCACCTGCACCAGCCCGATCGCTCGCTAGCAGGAAGCAGGGTGGCTTATCTGGGACGTGTGACGAGCAAAACTGTTTCTCCTGCTTCTCTTCCTCCTCTGAAAACATGCAAAAGGTGAGCACAGGGGGGAAAAAAAGGAACAAACACAAAACCAATTATGTTTTCAACTGTGAGTGCCCCGGAGCAAACAGCTCCTGTTTATCCCTACAGCTCCAAACACAGTGAGACTTTTCCAGCCATCAACCACACACGGGAACAGAAAAAGCTGGAGGTCTGGCTCATGTTGGGGTTGGCAGCAACAACCACCACTACAGGGCATCCCTGCCAAGCGTGACTTTGCCCCATTTCTTCGTCATCCAACCTCCTGCGTCCTCACTGGCTGGTAATTAACGCCCTTTGCCCCCTGTTTATTACGACGCCGTGTGCACGCGCCGGCTTAATGATTTACACTTTCATCTGCTCTTATCACATCCCAAAGGAGCTGGTTTCTTCTTGGTTTATTACTAATGCACCCAACCACCCAGGCTGACATCTGGAGCAGGAGGAGGATGGCAAGGAGCCTGACTAGGCTTTACCTCCTCCTCTCCCCATACCCTGGCAGCCACAGATAATCTCTTTTCAGCCAAACCTTGGGCCCTTGGAGTTTTCCAAAGGTCTCGTTCACTTTACCCTTTTTTTTTTTTTTCTGTGAAGGTTTTATTAGTTGATCGATAATGACTCGGTCAGGGCATCACTTCCATTTTCCCCAGGTTGGAAATTACAGTTTAAAGTTCGCTGTGGGAAAGGGCTCGCAGCCATCACCCCTGCAATTAACTCTGCCCTTCGACCTCTCCAAATCGGGTGGCTCAGACACACCAGAGCTGGTTTGCTCCCCGTGGGACCTGCTGCCTGGCTCTCAGAGTGTCTGCAGGTGACAGGGATGGTCCCCGGGGAAAGGCTGACTCAGTGAAGAGAAGAAATATTTTGCCTTGCAAAAACAAAGGCTGAGCTCAGGAACGCCACTGAGGTGTATATCTGGAAACAACGAAGCCATTTCCAGCCCTCTGGAGGTGGTTTGGGTCTCCTCAGGCTGCATCTGAGACTGCAGGAAAGCATCAAACTGAGACCTAAAGACTGCGAGCAGCTGAGGTGCTTTGGACAAAAAAAGCATCCTCCGTCAGCCCAATTCCTACCCCGCATGCTCTCCACGTGCACCACATCTTCTGCCGAATACAGCGTAACCCCACAGCCCAAATACTCTGCCTGGGATGGTGGGAGGGAAGCCAGTGGCCCACCGATGGGGTGGCTGGAGGAGAAGACACAGAGGTGAGATAACTGTGCCTCTGTGGACAGAATGTTTCTGGAGAAGACGTCCAAGAGAAGCCAGGAGAGGCATCTCCTATGAATAGAAGCTCTCCTGCTGCCCGCTGCCTCACTCCATCACCAGCACTGCCTTACTCGTCTGCAGAGGCACTTCTAACCATGGCAGTGCTTCCATTAGCTCCCCGAGGAGCTGGATCCCTAATGCATTAGTGTCAGACTAAAACCCCACTCTGGACCATTTCATCCCATTATTGTCATTTTTTCTCCTGTCTCTGCCTCCATCCGCACCGGAGGACGGTGACACTGAGCAATCACGTTGCTTGTTACTGAAACTCGCGTGCCCAGCCGCATCTGCAGAACCAGGAAAGCAACTTTTCCGCCTCTAAAGGATCCTTAGGGGTTAAAAATCATCATCATTCTTGGAACCTATTAGGCCCAATGGCTGGGGGAATATCTGAAGGACCATCAGGCGCTGCAGGAGCTTGTGCAACGGCTGCTGATAGACACGCGGGATAGACGGAGCGAAGCTGAAAACAATGGAAAAATCCAACATGGAAGTTCAAACCAGGATGAAAGCTTCCCATCAGAGATGCTGGACCTCAGGTCTATTTACTAGACACAATGGACCCACCTGAGAAGAGGCACTGGGACGGGGAGAGAGACCAAAAAGCTGGTGATGGAGAGGTTATACTATGGGGATGTATGAAGAGCGTTCATATATGCTACTCCTCCTCCTTACATCGCCTCTTTTTGCCTTCTGTTTTCCAAGTCCCTGCTTTGGACTCTCCATCCCCACCCCTGCGCTGAGCCTCGCCAGCAGGGGAAGCAGCAAGAAGCAGCTCCGAGTTACAGCCCAGCAGAGAAAGCTGAGAAATAAAACAAATTAGCCAAAGTCATCTTAATTACAGGGGCTCGGAGCGGGCGCTTTGTCATCCTTTTGCTTCTCTTTACGACCTGCATTTGTTTATTTGTGGTCCAAAGGCAGCGAGGTCTGACTTTAAAAATGATCTGGTTTGGGAAATGCAAGTTACCATCTCAAAAGCCATTTTTCTTGGCCTCTGGGCGATGCCTAAGCGATTAAAGTGCTTTTTGAAGGCGGTGGTTGCCATGGGACTCAGTGAGCCAAGGTCTGTGCACCAAACTGCCTCCCCAGCTCCGCGATGTGCCATGACAGAGTAGCCCTCACTCCACCAACCCCTCCTACTTCACAAGTACTGGCACAAAATGAGGACTCCAAAACAGTGTTACTGACGCTGGCAATGCAGCAAAAATCGGTAGTTTCCAAAGATAAGATGATTGCTTGTCCTAAAATCACAGAATCGCAGGA